CAAGGCCATCAGACTGCGCGACATGGGTGTTTACGTAACTTACCCTCGATGGCTGTGTGCTGCAACTTCGCCGAGTTTTGCTTTTTGACATTTATAGGAATTTATTTTTTATTTTTCGAATAATGCTTCGAAGTTTTATTTTGGGGGACGTTTCACTCAGAAGAATTTGGGTATCATAGGTTTTAGAATTACCAAAAGAGAAATAACATATAAATGAATCAGGGATGTTTGAAAATGGTGTTTTTTAAAAATACCTAAGGCTTGAAGATTATAAAGCATGAAACCTGCTTACATTTCCAGCTTACTCGGAAGCCTTCTAAGCGGCAGATCTCATACAAGGATGATGTGCTTGAAAAATGCGAAATTGTCGACGTATCGGAACCGAATCACACTAATGAAGCGAAAAGTAATGCGGATCGTTCTACGGACTGTCCTCTTATCGATCGTTTTCCACCTGAAAGTGCCGAAGAGCTGGCTGTGAATCCTCACAAAGTTGATGAGGTCATCTATTTCAAAACGTATTTTTTACAATTTAAATTACAAAAACTTTAACTTGAAGAAGGGTACTAACTGGAGGTATATGGTTTGAAATCGAAGGATCTGTCATATGATAGGAGCATTTCAGTAACACCACTAACATGGGATCCCGCATCGATTGCCTGAGCAGTCTTGAAATTCTTGGTATAACTTAAAGATTATTAAAATGTCTTGATTAAGCTATTATAACGGGGACAATCGAACAGATGTTGGTGTGGTCACTTCTCGATGTAGCTCCAGAAGTCTCCAAATTTGAAAATTCGTTTTTTTTTTTTTTTTTTTTAAATTTACTTGTGATTTATTTGCATACTGTCTGCTGGGAGTGAGTGCTGTTATGAACAAATGCATGATGCTCGTTTCGAATTAAATAAATATACAAGTATTGGAAGAGAAGTGATATATTTCGGGGTTCTTTCTTTCTCGTAAGAGCACTGAGTTACTGCAGGTGAGCGGATGCCAGGATCGCCAGAAGGATTTCTTCCAGGTGGCAAAAAACAGGGCAAAAATGAAGCAATAGGTGGGCAGGGTGTCCAGGCAAATTATTTGGGGCTAACAAATTATTTATAAGCAAAAAGAGTTACAGGTCAGGCGATGGATACAAAAGAAACGAGATCGTTGCCGGAGAAACAAGTTACTCTTACTCACCGGGCCAAGTGGTTCCGGTAAAACAGCAACAGTACGGGTATTGTGCCATGAGCTAAAAGTTGATTTAATTGAATGGAACGCATCGGAATCTTTTGAAATTTTCTATGACATGGAAGGCGACGAAGTGGTTTGTGAAGAAAGTCAAGTCAGTAGTCTACTTTGTCTTGTATTTGAAATTCTTTATTCAAAAAAAGGTGATTATGGGGTACGAAAAGACTCTGTTTTGTTTTTGTGTATATTTGAAATAGCTACATTTCATTGTAAGGTTCTCTACTTATGAATTTGCAACTTTCCGATTGCTTTGACCAATGCTACATTACCTGTTGGTCAGTGTGCTGGTGATTCCGACGTTTGTTTCGTCTTCGGAAAGAATTACAACGCGGCTCCCCCAAGTGAAACACCAAGCAAAGTTTTAGCAGTTTGGAGATGTCTTTCTTTTGGTTAGGCGTCCCTGTCTCCTCCGATTGTTGCTGGTGATTAGACCGCAGTGATAATTTTTTTGCCGAATAAGTGGTTTCTTAATCATGTCTAAAATGAGTGCCAAAAATGATAAATCTTGTCGTTTCATAAGGCCCGAATGATCGGAGTTCGAAAAGATAACTTCTGTTTCTTTTTCTTATTTCTGAAAAATTCTTTTGTTGGAAAATGTTCAGATTTTTTCATATGGTTGTTATAAAAAAATAATTGGCCAACGCACGGGCCGTCCATGCGATGATGCGTTTTTTGCATAGTTCCCCGCAGTTTTTGTCGCTGTTGGCATCGGTTTTTTCGGCAGATCCTTCTAGCTAAACAAATTAAGACTGGCGCCAAAACTGGCAGGAAACACCCCCTTAAAATTTCAGCCTTCTAGCTTTCCTGGCTCCTGAGTTAGCAACTTACTGGAAAAAATTTTTCACAAGCCGCACGCGGGTACCACGCATACCCGATGTCTGGATTTGAGCTCATTGAAACTTACTTGGACGGGGAACATCTTCCTAAAACTACAGTCTTTTAGCTTTTCAGGTTCTCGAGTTATGAACTTACCCGAGAAAAACTTTGGTGAACCCGTGCGTAGGTACCACGCATGACCGAGGGCTGGGTTTGAGATTGTTGAGACTAATGTAGACGGGGAACATCCTCTTAATATTACAGACTTCTAGCATCTCAGATCCCCGAGTTATGAACTTACCCCGGTGAAATTTTGGCGGACCTGTACGCGGGTACCACGCTTACCCGGGGGTTGGATTTGAGCTCATTATTACTTACTTAGACCGGGAACATTCCCTTAAGATTTCAGCTTTCTAGCTTTTCTGATTCACGAGTTACCAACCTATCAGAAAAAAATTTTGGCGAGTCCGTACGCGGGTGCCACGCTTACCCGGGGGTTGGATTGGAGCTCATTAGTATCTACTTGGACGGGGAACATTCCTTTAGAATTTCAGCCTTCTAGTATCTCAGGTCCCCGAGTTATGAGCTTGCCTAGGAAAAATTTTGGCGGGCCCGTACGCGGATACTACACTTACCCGGGGGTTGAATTTGAGCTCGTTAGTACCTACTTAGGCCGTGAACATTCCCTTAAGATTTCAGCTTTCTAGCTTTTCTGGTTCGCGAGTTATCAACCTACACGAAAAAAACTTTGGCAGGGTCTTACGGGGGTACCACGCGAGGAAAACCGCCCATTTTGGAGGT